CACAACGCCCGGCTATTTTTTGGTTGCAGCCGTCATTGTTGTTTGGCGGGTCCGGGCTGGGGATTCGAACCTGCCACCTTAGGTATACGTGGCTGGCACCTTAGCAGGTTGAGCTATAGGCACCGAGCCTGCTTACTACTATTATTTTACTTTCAAAACTTAAAAGTAGAGAAAAGAACTTTCACTTTTGGCTGTGGTGGAGTTAACTGGCAATGGACTAGCCCTACCACCTGGATAAAAGAGGTAAGACAATGAACAATAGGCAATGTAAGACTGTTCCTTAAGACAAGAAGAACTCATGAAGTGAACCCCAGCTCAGTGTGGAGATAATTTCCTAGACATAGTGTAGTACATGCTAGAGTACTGCAGAGCCTGGATGTCCAACTAAGCCAGAGGAAGAGATTAGATTTCAACAGCTCATTGCTAGAGTCTATGGGATGGGGCACCAGAGCTAAGGGAGCTATGCAAATAGCAGGAGTTGGGGGGTCAGTATAGGTGGGGGTTCCTGTGAATGACTGGCCCAGGGCTGTGCTGAAAATGAACAGGTTGAAACCACATTAGGTTTATTAGAGAGCAGCTGCCTGAGGGTTGATTTTGGGTAGAACTGGACAGATAGTGTTGGGATTGGAGACCTAGCAATGCCACAGTAGAGAGACCTCATTATCCGCTTGTTAACAATCTTGGCTTCTAGCTGACAGCCCAGAAAAACCATGTCTTAGGAGGTCCTTGCCCTATAGTAAAGCCTACTCTAGACAAAACTTAAAACCAAGTACTGACAAAGGGACAAAGTTGGGAGATTGAGTCCTGTCAAAGATCCTAGGCAAAGGAACACTACCTTTGAGGAAGGAGAAGAAGAAAAAGCCATTTGCCCCTGGGGAGGGTCAGGAAACTTGCTTGGGCCCAGGACCTGCCAATGTTATAAAGCAAGGGTCTACTGCCACCATGGGAAGAGTTTGAGTGCTGAGCAAGCCCTATCTCTGAGCCCCAGAGTAACAGGAATATCCAGATGAACTAACTATGCCCCTGCCTCCACAATAAACCTACCACTCATTAAATCTAACTCTGAAAAGTTAATGGAATGAATTGCATATTGTAGAAAAATGAGAATGTTTGTTAACTTCTCATCCGAAATAATACAGGCTAGAAGAAAAGGGAACAAAATCTTTAGAGTAGTAAAAGAAAAAAACAAAAACAGAACAAAATCTCATCCCCAGAATGAGGCAGACAGTGAAAATGTCATTCAAAAATAAGGATAAAATGAAGATATTTTCAGACACACAAGGTCTGAGAGAATTTCTTGTCAGTAGACTTGCAATAGAAGAACTGCCAAAGAAAACAGATTAACAGTTCTTAAAATGCTAACACACTCAAACCATGTGACTTAGCAATTCCACTCCTAAAAGAAATAAAAATGTATGTTCAAAGCTTTATTACAGTTTTGTTCATAATAGTTTCAAACTAAAAATAACCCAAATGTCCATCAACAGATGAATGGATAAACTGTGGTATATTCACATAAGTGAACACCATTTAATAATAAAAAGGAATAAACCAGTGGTTTATGCAACATGGTCAAATCTCAAAAAACACTATGCTGAGTTTTTTCAAAGAAGCCAGATTCAAAGGAACAGATTATGAATATTTGTTATTTCTATGAACTGGCAAAACTAATTTACAGCAGTAGAAATACAATTACTACTTATGTTAATGATTAGGGTATAGTATAAGTAGGTTGACTGCAAAGCTGTACAGAGAATTTTCTGGGCATAAGATATGTTCTTTTTTTGGACTGGGGTAGCTGTTACAGGGTGAATGCATTTTTCAGTCATAGAACAGTATGCATTAAGAGTATACGTTTTATTGTATAAAAATTAAACTTTAATAACGTTGATTATAAAAAAGATATCCTCTTCAGAATTATAAACCATTACCTGTATAGATCTGTCTTGTTATCAAACCAGTCTGACAAGACCCGAAAGGTAAAGAGGGGAAAACGCTGATGAAGAACGTGAAAGCTCACATTTTCAAAGGTGTAGTTTGTTAGAGCCACCTAAAGATACAAAAAAAGGCAAGATACCATTATAACAATATTTATGTGGTAAATTTAGATCCAAAATATACCAATATCACTTTAAATTCACAGGAAAGCTACTTGTAAAAATGATTTGTGTTGTAACTGAATCTTAATTAATTCCAAACTATGTATAGCCTAATGGGACAGAAATGTCCATAACAAATTAATACATCAGACTTGATGAGTTTCAACTTGGTCATATAATACTCATTTTAAGAAATCCCAGACCTAACCACTTCTTTCTATACTCTATGCTAACACAAACATTGACAGACAGAAGCATTGTCAAGCAAGTTAATTTTTGTTCTTTCCATACTTACTTTTTGGTTCTTGATGATATGACGATTAATGAGATTCCATAGATTTGCAGATGAGTTATCTAGTTAAAGACAGGCATTCGTCCTCCTCCCAAGAATGACATTTCTTACTAGGACCCAATACGTAGGCATTATAGAGCCATTTAATTTCATTTCAAAAACAAAAGATAAAAATGACAGAAATGTCTCTCTATATTCAAAATAATATATGTAGGTAAAAGCTATATTAATGGAAAAAGAATACTGAACCAGGGCATCAATTTTTTTTTCTTTTCTTTTTTTTTTTTTTGAGACAGTCTCACTGTTTCCCAGGCTAGAGTGGCCATGACATCAGACGAGCTCACAGTAATCTCAAACTCCTGGGCTCAAGTGATCCTCCTACCTTCGCCTCCCAAGTAGCTGGGATTACAGGTATACCATAACATCTGGCTAACTTTCTCTATTTATAGTAGAGATGCTGTCTCACTTTTATTCAGGGTGGTCTTATGAATGCCTGATCTCAAGCAATCCTCCTGTCTCAGCTTCCTAAAAATGTTAAGATTACAGGTGTGAGTCATGGCTCCTAGACAAATAAGAAAGGCAAGGGCCCAAATTAATAAAATGTACTTCTAGGTAGATGATCTCTTAGAAATCACTACAAAACAATAGCACCAGAACATAGCATACTTTACAGCATGCATGTACTTATACATACACATGTCTGTATGTGCACACCTCTCATAGGTTGTGAAACGGTAGAAGAGGCCTGGGCACAGTGGCTCACATCTGTTATCCTAGCTTTCTGGGAGGCTGAGGTGGGTGGATTGCTTGAGCTCAGGAGTTCAAGACCAGCCTGAGAAAGAGCGAGACCCCATCTCTAGTAAAGCTAGAAAAACTAGCCAGGTGTGGGGGTGCGGGCCTA